GAAATGATTTTGTGACACATTGCTCAAAAGGACTGCTGAAGCATAGAATGAGAATTTTCAATCACTTTTTCTTCTCTTATAGGCATGACCTATATAATATCAAAAATCAATTCTACTATATATTTTTCTGAATTGCTAAAACTTTAAGGTTATATAAACAACTTAAACAGCTGTATTATTCAACATTTTGAAGAAATTTATTTTATTTAAACAATAATGTAGAATAATAATTATTATTATATTTCACGTATATATGAAGAAAATAGTGTTTCAAATGTTTAGAAAGTGAATAAAGAGTAGAACTATACAAATAATTTATTTTTAAACAATTAATTCGTGTTGTATTTCTTTTAAAATTATGTGTAGCTTTTTTCAGTAGTTCATAATCGGTAGCAAGATCCATATTGTTTGGTAAATATGTTTTAGTATCATCTAAGAATTGTTCAATATAATCCTCATGAATTTCATTTAGATTAAGATAAGTAAGATGAGGATATTTAATGATTGAGAAATCTTGTTTATCATCTTTTGATTTTGGGCATTGTTTATTCTTTTGTGGTTTTAGATTATTTAAAGTTAATTTTTGGATCAATGGAAATGATTCAGCAATAAGAAGAAAAAATTCATGTTCAAAAGGTTGTTCATCAAATAAGGATATTTCACGAACACATTCAAATAATCCACCTGAAAAATTATTTGCTATATTATTATATTCTTTCAATGTATATGGATATGAATAAATAAGACATTGACCTTCTGCTGCCTCTAAAAAATAATCAACACAAGAAATAATTTGATTAAATTTAAAATTTCTGAATGTGTTTTGTATATTTTCATTTGATGGCAAATCAATTTGATTATCAAGACAAATGTTTGAATAAATATTAAATGTAAATTTCTTCAATTATGACATATGATTGATAATATCTGTCAAATTGTTTCCATCAATAAATGTGCTTCTGCCAACGATTGAAAAATTCAAAGTGAGTTCTTCTAAATTCGACATTCGATGTAGAAATAGTACAATTATTCCATCAAATGCATTTAGAACCATATCACAACATAGCACAAAGCATCTTAGATAAGGAAGCTTTTCCTAAAAAATAATATTATTGACTCGTTTCAATTAGATATTAAATAAAATATCTATTTTATTATCAATTTCTAAATGTGAACTAATTGTACCAATATTCACATGAAGTGTACGAAGTTGATTGAAACGCCCATCAACTAAATAAAGACAATCAGTGTAATTCCTGAAACTGACATGCAATTCGAACAGATTTGATGAGAAAATAGGTGGAGGTGAATAATGAAATGATAATTCTTGATATGA